GACAGGGCTGAGGGGTCGTCAAGACAGGAGATAGTTCCTTGGATTCAAGAGAAGTTACCTAATTATAGTTCCTTTTTTTGGTTTAACCAAATATATAATAAGGATTTTATAAGGTATCCTTTTGGGGACTACAATGGATACTATAGGTAGGTCAAGGCAGGGTTCAATTCGAGCTCAGGGGGTTTTAGGTTTTAAGGCGTAGGGATGCGGGTTTGGTGAGTACAGTCTTGAGCGATTCAGCATTGGAGCGCAGTGTGCGGGTAGCAAGTGCCGCAGTGGCCTGTTTTTATCCAACGATGGATCTCGCGGCATGAGATTTAGCATCCATGTGGCAACACAATGGCGAGTGAACCCTGGAACCCTAAACCTTAAACCCTGTTCACATCAATTGCGCATCTTGGTTGACGTAAGCCGCCTCTCAAGAAAGCCCCAACTTATCCCCCAAGAAGTAAGATTACAAAAACCTGCAACCAAGTACAGGGTTTAGGGTTTCCCTATAGTCTCCATTATAGTTCCATTTTTTGGTTCAACCAAATATATAATACGGATTTTAGAAGGTATATCCCCCAAAAAGGAACTACACTGGAAACTATAGGTAGGTGTTGTGCAGAAGAGAGCCGTCGATCCGCAGGCTGTCCTCAGGTAGCGCTCACCGGTGCAGAGCGTGAGAAGGTGCTGCGCTCGTCCTTGCCGTACGAAGAAGGTATCATGGACATCATGTATATATATATATATACACATACACACACTGTACGACTACGGGTATGTAGACACCGTGTAGGTACATCAATGGGGCCCCAAATTCACAGCACCCCGAAGTATGCAATTGAATAAGCAAGCAAAATGTAACATGAATGAATAAATGCATTAACAAAGCCTTACAGGGTCTTTTGCAATAGAAGGCACCTCAAACACACCGGTGGCAGCACACCTCCCTTCTCTAGTTAGGCCGCTGGATGATGGATAGGAAGCTCAGGGCTTATCGTGTCTTTGTAAGGTTCAGGGCTCAACAGGGTTATCGGATTTATACGGTCGACGATTTAGTGTTTGAGGGGGCGCAGCCCAAACAACGAGATCATGGAAATCAAGATTGTCACGGTCACTGACAATGGCAATATTGCCAAACCGAAAGACAGACGGCTATCTTCCAGACCATGATCCCATCAGAGCCTGCAGGTGAATGTAGCTTTGGATATATCCTAGCGCGATCCATAATTACGACCACCTGTCTTACACCCACCCGGAAGTCTGGCAACCTATAGTACCACTCCAAGGAAGAAGGTGAAAGTATTTTCATGTCGTAGCAAGTTAACAGGTCTAAATTCTAGCATGCCTGCAGCGCCCGTGAAACCGCTAGCGAACTCCGCAGAGGCTTTCTATAAACAAAACGAAATAGGTCAAAGCCTTCGGTGCCTTCTGAGGGCCCCAAACCCTAAATCCTAAAAACCCTAAACCCTGAGAGCCCGGTTGCGTATGACGTCAGGTGATGCAGCTGCGACTCCAGAGGTGGTCTTGGTAAGATTTGATAACTTAGGGGCTGAGTAGGTAACCTTTAACCTTTTGGGGCTTATAGAGCCCTGCTATAAAGCAACAGGTTAACCTTTTCTAGGCTGGGGTACTCAGCCCCTAAGATAAGGACTCAGTGGCTGTGAGTTGAGAGTTGAAGGGTTAAGAGCTGTTGGTATAGAGCTTCGGGTTTAAAGTTTAGGGATTTAGGGTTGGAGGCTTTAGGGTTTAGGGTTTATGGAGTTCTGAGTTGGTTCTTGTTCGTGCTTTGCTTTTCCTAGGGCAAGGTTTCAGCGACTCCTTGCTTTGGAGGTAGTGAGAAAGAACTTGGTCTTGGAAATTAATTTAGGGGCCTAAATAAGTACTAATGCTATTTTGCGGGTTCCTTACTATAGTTTTTAGTGGAATATACCCCCAAACCCTAATTATTCAGGCCCCTGCATTACACCCGAAGTGAAAACTCGAAACCCCTAGAAGACGGAGATGGATCCCGTGATAGCAATTTTGTATCGCAGCAAGTCCCAAGAAGCCTTGTGGCGAAGTCCTCCGAAGACCATCTAATACGACCGAACCCGAAGAGACCAACAATCGCCGACTTCTGGCATGTTGCAAACGCCTCCATACACTTGAAAAATAGCGAACCCAAGACAGTCATTCCGAATAATCGGTTTCTTTCTGTTCAGCGAGTCCCTAGACCCAAAAGCATAACCTGACTAGCCGGAGCCTGAAACTCCCACACCCTCCTTCTGTACTAAGAAATCCTTAGCAAAGAAATCCTGTGGGATTTTTTAAATTCTGGAGCACGAGCAAAATAAATAAGAAGTCAGTATGTTTTTGGTAAGTTCCAGATTTTAAAGTCCTACAAGTTTTCAAGACCCGAAACCCCAGGCACCAACATCCAGCAATTAGGCCTTAATAGTCCTGTTGAAATTAGAAAGGCAACCAAAAATCCTTGTTCGAAACTCCCTCTGCAGATGCCCACGCAGCACCCTTGAAGAACTCTCGGAGGAACCTTTACGGCATCCTAGAGTCCGAAGCATGTTTTGCCAGGCCTGGAACCGTATCCTAGGCCATGAAGCCTTATGGTCAAACCTTAAACCATAAGGCTTTATGGCCTAGGGTTTAGGGTTTAGGGTTTGAAGCCCAATAACCCTAAACCCACTTAGAACACCGCCTTTTTTGAAACACCGAAATTGAATTCTTCCGGGCCTCGAGCCGTCGTAAAATCCTGCAAGGGCCGTATCGGAGCCCCTCATGCAAACCTGCAATAAGGTTCTCCCATAATCATACAAGACGCCTAGAGGAAAAAGGAACTTTTTGAGACTTTGGTCAAACCCTGCCTAATATAAGATCCTGATAGAACGCGTATTGGAACTCTTAAGGAACCATCATTAAACTCCTGGTTTTGCCAAGCCTCGAACCCTATAGACCCATGCTCATATGAGGCTTGAAAAGTATAGGGTACCCATCTAGACCGCTTCTGAACACTCAAGAAAACCCTACCCGAAAGCCTAAACCCTGAACGATTAATTCCTTTTCAGGGGCCCATGGATCCCTCAAGGAACCCCTCGTAAACGTTTCAGTAGAACATATTGGAACTTTAAACCCTCTGCTAATACCTTGAAGGCACTTTTATATAGTGCCTTCTAACCTTTGAAAAGCATCAAAGGTCATTTTCAAAGTATAGCATCCTGCAAGGAACCCCTAAACCCTAAACCTTAAACACCGAAACCCTAAACCCCTAAACCCTAAAACCCTGAACCCCTCAACCCTAAACCCCTAAACCCTAAAACCCTAAACCCTAAACCCCTAAACCCTAAAACCCCTAAAACCCTAAAGCCCTTCACTTCGGTTGTGTCTTCCGAGGCCTCGGAGCTTGGCCGAGGGTCTTCGCCTCCTCGCCGAGGCGGAGAGGCAGCGGGCGGCCGCTGTCCCTTGGCCTCTGGAAGACTTTATAAGGTTTAGGGTGTAGGGTTTAGGGTTTAGGGTTTAGGGTTGGAAGATGTAAGAAAAGGAGTCAAGGCTTTAGGGGTTTCAGGGTTTTAGGGCTTTAGGGTTTTAGAGTTTTTTAGGTTTTAGGGTTTTAGGGGTTTTAAGGTGTAGGGGTTTAAAGCCCTCAAAACTCTAAAACTCTAAACCCAACAAACCCTGAAGCCCTAAAACTCCAAGACCCCCAAACCCTAAAACCCCTAAAGCGCTAAAACCTTGACTCCCTTTTCCTATAGTCTCCATTGTAGTCCCAGCGCTTAACCAGTTGGATGCTCATCATAAGAGCTTCCATATTATAAGAAGGAGTCAAGGTTTTAGGGTCTAGGGCTTTTAGGGTTTTTTAGGGTTTTTGGGCTTTAGGTTTTTTTTTATAGTTTAGTGTTTTAGAGTTGTAGGTTTTTAGGGTTTTTAGGTTTTAGGGATTTTAAGGTTTAGGGCTTTGGAGTTTTAGGGTTTTTAGGCTTTAGGGTTTTAGGGTTTGGGGTTTTCGAGTTTTAGGGTTTTTAGGGTTTAGGGTTTAGGCTGTAGGGTTTTAGGGTTCGGAGTTTTAGGGCTTTAGAGTTTTTAGGGTTTAGGGTTTTAGGGGTTAGGGTTTTGGAGTTTTAGCTTTTTTAGGGTTTAGGGTTTTAGGCTTTAGGGTAAGTTTTAAGGTTTAAGGTTGTAGAGTTTTCATACCCTATTCTAACTATTAAGGCCCCTATACATCCACGACATGGGCCCGAAGTGTAAGAAATCCTTAAAGAACCCACGAAATACAGTACTACCTATAGTCTCCATTGTAGTTCCTTTTTTTTGGTTAAACCAGATATATAATAAGGATTTTATCAGGTATCCCCCAAAAAAGGAACTACAATGGAGACTATAGGAAAAGGGAGTCAAGGTTTTAGGGCTTTAGGGGTTTAGGGTTTGGGGTTTTGGAGTTTTAGGGCTTCAGGGTTTTTTTGGTGTCGGGTTGTGGGTCCTCGCGGCCTGTGCCTGTTGGACGAGATGCAAGGGTTTCCTACAAACAACGTGACCCTCGCAGCGGGTCGCTCGAAGTGTGCTCCTGTAGGCCTCTGGCGCCTTGAGATGGGATGTGAGGGCCGAAAACTTCTGACCCCTTTGCCAGACTGGGCTTTCGGTCCCTAGCACCCGCTAAGACCGTTTTTGCCAGAAATTTGGCAAATTGGCGCGTAGGACCGGCCAGAGAATCTGCCAGCCTGGGGCCATCTGGGGCCCAAGACCCGCCGTACAGGCCAGACCAAAGACATCAGTCGATCTTTGTTGCCTGACGGCAGTGTGGTCATTAGCGGGGCGGTGTCAGTAGAGTCCTCGTATACCCGGGGAGGCTTTACCCTCCTCGCCGTTCTGACGAGACGCTCGGCCGGGGGCGTTGGTCGGAGCCTCGAGCACCCATGCAAATGATCAACTGCGCTCCCGGCAGTTTAGGGTTTAGGGTTTAGGATAGATATACCGGCTTTGGGAAAATGAAGAAAAAAGGCCGTTTAGGCTTAGGATATGCCTTAAGGACCAAACGAACCCCAAAAAGGCTTGTGGCTTATAGCCGGTATTTGGGGCTCACAGTATAAGATGTAGAGCCCCATAATATTTAAGGTTCACTAGGTGGAATATCCATTAGAAGAGGGTTTGTTTGGGGAACGGCGCTTTATGGGTTCTATAATCAGGGTTGTAGGGCTTGTAGGCATAAAGGGTAGTGTAAAACGGGAATAATTGGAACGAGGTTCCTTCAAGGTTTTTTTTGAGGGGTCTGTATGCTGGAGCGGTGAGCAGTTCCTTTGTGTGACTTTAGTGTTCTACGTAGGGGGGTCGATGATCCCATCATGATGGCATTTTTTAATCAGGTGCTTTCGCGTTTCAAGCAGGTTTCGAAGTTTCGGAGACGGCTTCAAACAGGATGTTTGCAGCTTTAGGGAGGTTGGTCGGCTTATAGAGGGATATGTCCGACGGAGCCCCTGCAGCGTGGGGACTCCATCGGGCATGCGGGTCTTAGGAGCTGTGAAGTTTTAAGTGTGGCTGGCGGCCTTGTTGCTTTATGTTTCAGTTCGTAGGATTATCGAGTGTAGAGCTTTGGGTTTGAGATTTAGAGCCCAGAGTCTCTTCAGTTCAGATGTGACGCTAGAAGGTTCGGCCTATGTTTATGGTGGCGGGTGGTGGGTGCTGTTCTGTTCTTGCAAAAGGCGGAACTGGGAGTTGTGTGGGGGAGGTTTCTTCCTTCACCTCTGTAGATCTCGCGGAAGCGATGCAGTTCATGTTTCAAAAAGGTAAAGTCAAGTAGGTCATCCTGCAACCTCAAGCCCGAAAGTTGCTACCCTTTCTTTGCAACTTTCACCTTCCGAGGCAGACCGCCTCAAGGCACGTGGATAGCTCTTGGAGCCTTAGGTTAAGGCGACCGGGCTGAGGACCACGGCCAAGGGTTCAGGGTTAGCGTTCAGGGTTCAGGGCATAAGGCTACTTGCTTCATGCTTATGTTTCTGTCGCTCCTCCGGCTGCATCCCTCGTTAAATCAGAACGCCCTGCTGTTGAGGTGTGTTCGCTGGCACACAATCCAAGCCCATGCTGAAAAGGGCATAAGGCTAAGGGTATGAGCTTGGGGCGTCAGGATCAGTGCTTTTTTGTTGAGTTGCAGGTGTCTGGTAAAGACGAAAATTCTCCAGGGAAGAGCAAGCCAATACAGAAGCCTGGTGCCAACCTTATCACTCGAATCCTGGGGCCCGAATACTACTGTCATCCTATAAAATCTAGTAGTAGGGTAGGTAACCTTTAACCTTTTTGGGGTAGTACAATCCCTATATAACCCCTATATAACCCCAAAGGTTAACCTTTAGTTCCCCATGATACCCGACAAGTAAGAGAATCTTGAAGCCTTTGAACCTGAACCAAATAAAATCTCAGCTGCCACTCCGTGAGCCCCGGGCGTTCTTAAACTCAATGCCACCTTGCTTGCAGGCTGCAGACGCAGAAGGGACGCTGCCGAAAGAGGTGGATGCACAGGCTTTGACCAGGCTGCCCGCGTTTCTTTCCCTGGTAGGGACTAGGATGCCTTTGGGTTCAGTGTTTCAGGTGGCCTGTAAGGCAGTAGACGTAAGCATTCTTCTGACAGTTCCAGCCACAGACATGCCTACAGACTTTCGGCACGAAGCTCTCAGCCCTAAAGCTTAAAGCGCTATGCACTGCAATGCTGCAGTTGCGAAACCTACGGCCCGAAACCCCTTGAACTTTCTGAAGAGGTGGCTCCGAAGCGTGCGCGAGCGGGCCGCCTTGCGCGTGTCTTTGCGAAAGGATTAGGCAAAGCTCCTACCTTAAAGTGGGGTTTTAGAGGGTCTTGTAATTGCGGGATTAACCATGCAAGTTTGTAGAAAACGGTTTCGATTATGTTCCCCTGAAGATCGCCAAGGCTCTCCTTCGCCGAAGAGTTTAGGATTTAAGGTTTCGCATGTAAGAAACCCTATGATACATCGATGTTGTTTTGCGGCGGGGGGGGGGCGCCCTTCTGCTCCGTTTATTGTGGGTCCCCATATCAAAGCAGAACCCACAACCCCTCTCTGGCTGAGGCGAAAGGCGGCACAGGGGCGGCTTCAAACCCTTTGTCAAGGACACTAATATAGAGACCCAAATACTGTACTATTTTGGGTTCCTTATTATAAGTATGAGATAACTACATAATATACACCAAAGCCCTATTTTGGGTTCCTTGTTATAAGCATAGTATAATATACCCCCAAAGCCTATTCTAATGATTAAGGCCCCTACATTACGGCGTGGAGGCTGGCAGGCTTCACGGGCTTTCAGGCACAATAGGTTTAGGGTTCAATGTAGAGTCCTAAAATTTTGCCAGTACTATTTTGGGAGGGTTCGTTGTCATAGTTATAGTATAATGAACCCTAAAACTCTATTCTACTTATTAAGGCGCCTATATTAGGACTTTTAGAGTCTACAGGGTTTCACTAGGGTGTTTAGGGTTTGCTGGGTTCCGCTTGTTGGGTTTTGGTGGTATAGTGCCCAGTACTGGTATCGAGGTTTGACGTATCTCAGGCTTTGAGAACCCTAAACCCTAAATCTTCAACCAGGGTTGGAGGGTTTTAGGGAATTTTTCTGTGTGATTCCCTCGTGCGCTGTGTAAACCCCCCTAAGAGCTGAGTAGGGAATACAAAGCCCTACGAGCCGCTAACTAGACCAGGGCATTGGGGTGTTCACTGCTATGTTGTTGATAGTGTGTTGAATACAAGCATCATGTACAGCCGTTGTCTTGTGCCGATGTTGTGCAGCAGTTCCAGCTGATGTCATGAGCAGTGACAGTGCGACTGCTGAAGAGAAGAGCCCATACACACCGCAGCATCGATGACTTTCTGCAGCGAAAAGCTTAGCTGTGCTTGCTTGCGTGCTTTGCTTGGTTTAGGGGTTGCTACCCATATTGGTAGCGGAGCTAGTAGCCGGTTCTAGGGGGCTAGGCTGCTTTTGCTGCGCGTACTTTTGATCATGGCGTCTCCCGAGGGGACACAACAGGCAGCAGCGACTGCCGAGCTTTCTCAGGAGGCAGCGGCGGCTGGAGCGGTGCCGGTGCCTGATGACCCATGGGATGAGAACGACCCATGGCAGCCGGTTTCGTCAGTTGGAACTTCGCCTCCTCAGGCGACTGGCCCTCCTGTTGCGTATGGCCCTGGCTGGTGGGGAGGAGCGCCTTTCCATCCGAACGGTATGCCGGCAGGACCTATGATGCAACAAAATGGCATGCCCCCAGGGTTTCCTTTGCAACAGACTGGCATCAACGGTGGTGTGCCTCAGCCTCCTTTGTCGAGTGGTGGCCTTTGTTCTGGGATGCCAGCGGCTCCGGGACTACCTCGCCGAATGTGCCCCCAGCTTGGGGATGGAATGCGGGCTGGCCTGGAATGATGTATGACCAAGGCACCTACATAACAGGCGCTGTGCCGCAGCTTGCGCCAGCGCAAGCTGCCCCTGGAGGAGGCGGCTCTACACCTGGAGCTTCTTCGGTTGCGTCAGGAGCCTCGGTTGAAGAACCACGTGCCGCCGGGCCCGGGGCTCAACAAGGTGATCCTGCTGCTGATGGAGGCCGTGCCGGTGGTCCTCCTCGTGATGATGGGGTCCTACCTGATGGTGCTGTTCCTGGTGGTCAGAATGTGCTGCAGCCACCGGGGTCCCAACGACCTCCCTCGGCTACCCCGTCTTCGTCTGCTGGCACCTCGGAGATTCGTTCTTTGCTGAGGCGCCGGGCAAAAGAGTGGGACAGGCCAAAGAGCAGCATCGGCTCTGTGAAGATAGAGGAGTTCAGTGGAGATCGGCGTCGCTACTTGAAGTGGCGCCGTGCCATTGAGGCACAGGAGCAGCTCTACAGACTCGAGGCGGCGGAGCTCACGATGCTGCTTTACTTGTCGACCCGGGGGGGAAGCCCGGGATGTGCTGGACCAAGTCCCGCTCTCAGACCTGACGGCAGTTGGCGGCAACGTGTTGCTTTGGAAGCTTCTTGATGAATCCTTCGGCGAGTCGTGTGCCGAGCTTTTCGAGCGGGCAGAGCGGGAATTGAATACCTACAGGAGAGTGCCCGGCCAGCCGATTGCCACGTACCTGGCCAACATGCGTCGCCTTCGTGCTCAATATGTTCGGGTGGACCCGGACACGACTATATCGGACCGTGCCTGGGCCCAACGTTTGCTCAACCGGGCTTCTTTGAGCAAGCGGGAGAGGCTGGACGTGTACTACTCGGCCGGCGGAGCTTATACCACAATGGGCATCGAGAGCGCTCTTCGGCACAGGTGTGCCCAAACTCACGAAGAAGAGCGTCGAGTGCCTACACCGTCTGCCCCGTCTTCAAGGAGTTCGTGGAGTTCCCGGGCATCCTCCACCAGATCGCCTTCGACCACGGCTTCGTCTATGACAGGATCGCGCCGGCCTCCTTTTGCACGTGGGGCCCCGAAGCGCAACAATGTGCATCTGGCCGATGAGCTGGAGGATGTGGATGAAGAGGACCTGGACGCCGAGGAGGGCGAGGACATGGTCACAGCTCTGCCCGAGCAGGAGCCCGAGGACGAGGAGATGAATGAGGACGAGCCGGCCGAGGAAGATGATGGCTTGGATCCCCCGTCAGGGGAAGAAGCCACGGCCGAGGAGGTGAGCGAGGCTTTTGCGGCCGGCTGGAAGGCAAAGGCCAAGACGGCTGGAACAAGAAAGGCCCGTGGCTGGTCTCAGGGTGGCTCGCGGACTGGTGCTTCGTCTTCTTCCTCGCGGCCCCCGAGCTCCTCGACTACACGTTCGCTGGCGGACAAGAAAAAGAGCAGCACCTGCTCTTCCTGCGGGGTGCGCGGACACTGGAGAGGAGACCCTCAATGCCCTAACGTCCTGTCTGGCCGGGACCCACCACATCGGAAGCCCGAGGTTCCGAGCAAGGGTGTGAACTTTGTGAATTACACCTTCATGGTTGGTGCGGCTGGGGCGGACCCTGGCGGCGCGGCCGTGGCACCACCCTCTCCCTGGACTACGTGCCCTACCTGTCCCTCGTGCTTTGCGGCTGTGACTGTGGACCAGAAGTTCTGCCGAGAGTGCGGTGCCAAGCTAAATCCGAAGCGAGAGGAGCAAGCGCCACCCAGGCCCATGAGAGATGTGCGTGTGCCCAAGTATGCCGTGGGCAAGACCAACAAGCCGAACGACCACACCATCAAGGTACGACCTCAAGAAGCCATGGCAGCTTTGGACAATATGAGCCGCGAGGATAAGAAGCAGCTGCGCTACTTACTGGAGCGCGAGGAGGAGGAGCATCAAGTGCAGGACCAGCTCCCCATCCGCAAGGGCACGGGCTATGATCATGCGCCGTCTATGTCTTCGGCAACTCCTTGGCAGAGCTCGGCGGCACCGCTGGCCCCAACTCTGCCGACATCCTCTTCTTCTTCTTCTTCTTTGGCTTTGCGGCCGCCTGACAAGAAGGATGACCGAGGCAAAGATAAGGCCGATGGTGTCCGTCGACGTGAACTTGAAGACTTCAGGATCTCTCTGTGGAGAAGGGCACAGGCCGGTGGCAGAACTACCCCCTCCTCGGCATCGCCAGTCCCGACTGAACGACAAGCGAGATGTCGGCATGTGTACGGGGACCTGCTCTGGATCTCAAATCAACATGGCCATTTCGCGAGATGCAAAACTTGTGACTTGAAAAACGTCCTCTACTACTCCGTTCGACATGGGGTTCTCGCGGCAGGCCTTGAGAATGACCCCGAGCCGGAAGCCAGGCCTTTGCATGCTCCTGGGCAAGTGATCTTGGACAGCGGCTGCCGCACGGCAGTGGCAGGATGGCACTGGCATCACCAGTTCCAAGCGGAGCTGAGGGCGAGAGGGGCGACTTGGAAGGAGATCCCGGAGCACGAGACGTTTCAGTTCGGGGCGGGAGGCCCAGAGGTTTCCAACATGGCCTTTGTGTACCCCGTGGGCATCTATGGCAAGCCCGACCTCATCCGGATGTCTGCGGTAGGCGGGGCAGCTGTAAACTGCCCGGGCCTTGTTGGGCCCTCCGAGCTTTCTCGCTATAATGTTTGCTTTGACTTTGCGGCCAAAACTTTGGAGGTTTTTGGCCAGCGACATGCGATGATCCTTTCTTCGACACGGCACCCCGCTCTCTACATCCTGGACCTGCCCGATGGAGACGGCGACTTCTGGAAGAGACCTGACCTTGTGGAACGGGCCGCCCTCCTGGAGACAAATCCACAGAGCCTGGCATTCATGGTTGAACGCCAAAAGCCTGGTGATGCTGATGAGGAGGTGCATGAGGTCTTGTCGTCGTCGAGTGGTGCCACGCAACCTCCTGAGCACCACTTCTTTGGTGACTTCGGCGAAGCCGCGCGCAAACGCCGGGTCAAGGACTGGTTGGACCTCCTCCAGGATGACCTGGGCGTCCGGGTGATACGCGACTTACCTGATGCTGCCGAGACGGGCTCCGAGGCTTCACTGGCCTCCTCTGGTTCCAAGTTGCGTGCCGATGGCGGTTCCGATGGCGAGACCATTACAAGCCATGAGTTTGGTGTTGAGAGAGGCACGGACGACGAGGAGGAGACCAGCGAGTTCGAGGAGGAATTGGTGCCCGACCTTGGAGGAAGGCCGTGCTTTTTCCACAAGGGCAAGCGACAGCAGGTGAAGAAGGTCGCCCAGGAGATAAAGGAGACGTGCCACGGAAGGACCCAGCCGCCAGACAACCCCGTGTTCTTCGAGGAGTGCCCCGCGCCAGCTCAGTTTGCACCGGTGAGGCGTCCTCGCCGGGCCGGGCCGTGGCGAATGATCGAGATCTTCACTGTGACCATGGTTGTGGGCATGGCTGCTGGCGCTCGCGGCTGGGAAGTTGGGGAACCTGTTGGGCTGCCTGGCTTTGACCTAGGACAAGCAGCTGACCGGAAACAAGCCGACGACTACCTCGAGGCCTTTGACCCCGACTTCGTGATGATTACGTGGCCCTCTCAGTGCTGGCGTCCTCTTTCCAAACGGCAAGCGGAGGATGCGAGGGAGTGCGAGGAGATCGGACACCAGCGAATGGAGCAACGAAAGATTTTGGCCTGGATCCAACAGGCCGTGCTTTACCTTCGTCAAAAGGGGGTGACCGTT